AGTATGAGTCACAACTGGCTACTACATTTCTTGCAGTTCCCTCAGAAACACCTAAAGCTGACCAGAGAGCTATAGAGTTAGTCTGATCTGATGTAGAAATTCCTGTGTGTAATGCTGACATTTCTTCCATAGCCCTCAAATTAAGTGCATTGAACTGCCAGTTTAATCTAGTATCTTAAGTGACACAAAAATAGTAAAGAAAAGTTTGCCACAGAATTAAGGCTATATTGAAGAGTATCCTGTAAATACAAAATCATAGAGAAACTAAGCTTGCTGCATTGAAGTTTCAAGGTTAATAAATTCCAGCTCAATAGATACTCCTTTTTCTCAACTGCCCTAAATTCTTGGAAGTTTTCATTTCTTTAAAATTTGCATTTTCTAAACAATGTCATTTAAAAATCAGATTCTGTATTCAAAGTATTCTAGGAAAGTTTTCTAAATTATGTTGATGCAACAGTGTTGTGTCAAGTAGATGCTTATTGTAATATGCATGTGCTTGCAAGATCCGTGCACTGTATTGAGAACATGGAAAAAGGTTTCTCAGACTTTGCTGACTTATACTAACAAATAACCAATTTCTTATCAGATTCACACTATTGGATTCACACTGGGAGACCAGGCACATGGTCCATTTCAGCTGGAGATAGACTTCATTGGTTTGCTTATGGACAGCGCTCATACTGAAGAATTTGCCTATGAACAATATGAAAGGAACACCAAATTCTAGATTGACTTGCCCTCCAATGGAACAGATGCTTCAGGAGCTTATTAAATATGTATACAACACTTCGTTGATCTTGACTAGGTTCACAATGCTGTTAGAAGAACCCATGTAAATACTGAAAGGGAGAGTTGTATGGGATGGACACGCATCTTGCAACTTTAAAGATGTACTAATGTTTTTTTCTGACTTCCAATCTATTTTCACTACGGGCTTCTGCAACTAAGTATTGTTGGAACATTGCATCAGAGAAAGGTGTGGTAATTAATAAACAGTTGTATGGTGAGGGTTGCTGAATGGATCATCTTCAGACATGCTTATTATTGACTAGGTAGTTTCTCAGATATTTGTGAAACTAAGAAGAGCAATTCAGAAAGTAAAAGAAATAAGAGCTATTAGAAGATTTCTGGTGTTCCACTTCATTTCACTGCTACAGATAATACGACTTGAGAGGTTATTCTATTGCACAAAAAAGTTCTACACCTCTGATGAAGTGGTAGATCATGAAGAAAGATTTATATTGAATAAACAGGTAGTAAACTCATCCAGTGCCTATGGGGCCAGGCAAGCAGAAGTGGGACAAGGGTTAACAGTTACCACTTGCCAGCCTACCGCTTGCCAACACACATCCTCAGTGGGGTTTCAAACAGAAGAATCTGGCAGTGATCCCTGCCCCACACCCAGATTCCTGGCCCCTCCAGGAATCTGAGGCTGGGTGAGATTGCTCTATTGGCTGGCTCTTTGATATTCCTGGAATAAAGGATTAATCAAAATTACATTCAAAATTGATAGCAGGTGCAACATCTGAAGTCCTTTTATACCTCTCTACTAGTTTCCATGCAAGTCGCATTCTTTAAGTGTGTCTAGTTCGTGCAAAAGGGTGAACCAAGAACATATAATATAATACAAATCATTTGACAGCATTTCCCCCCTATCCCTTTGCCCCCATTTAACATGAAGAAAAAAACCCCTTGTCTCCTATTCAGGTACAAAGTTGGGGGTTGGGAGGGGGGGTGGAGAAGGGCAGGCAGCTGCGACTCCAGCCCCAAACTGGAGTTGGGATCAGGGTTGGAGCTGCTACCCCACCCCCTACCACTTACCTTCTGGGATGTGGTTGCTACAGCCCCAGCCCAGGCTCCAACTCTGGAGTTGCCACCACAACTTGCATGGCTGGGCTGAGCAACCACATGATGTGGCTTGTGGAGAGGGTGGTGTGATAGGATAAGTACCATGGAGTGGGGCAGGTGCTGAGGTGCGTGGGCACTGGGGATCGGGCTGCTTGACACTTGACACATACTTCCTGCCACCCCCCCGCCACTGATTTCCTTGCTACCATAGGGGGAGGGGGAGGGCAGTTCAATTTAAAAACAAACACCCCAAACATTAGATACATGGAAACAAATGTATAAAATTTTACACATATACAATCTAATTATAAGGGGGGTCATCTTAAAAATTCAGAGTTGTCTTAGATTCAAGTAAATATGGTAATATCCAAGTAGAGTAAAAAAAGATAGGTTAAAAAAATCCATGCAAGATTTAATCCCTTCTAAACACTATTTGTAGGTACTCTATAACTCATTTAGGATACCCCAATAAATGCATTCTCTCAAAGTGATTAAGTGGGTCATTAAGCTTAGCAAATTACAATTCATTTATTTTACTTATTTTTCACTAAGTACCCATATTGCATCTGTATATGACCACAATTGGCAACTGGGGGCTTAAGCCCCACATCTCTCATCTTCCTTACATTCTCACATTAGTAACCAAGCCTCTTCTGATTATGCCATTCAATAGTCATAAGCAATAGCATTATATACAAATGCATTTATTCCCTCCCAAATTAAACAGTATAAAATTTTATACAAACTTTTCCATATCTGAGGCTAATGTTTCAGCAAATAACAAAAGGTAACCGTACTTGTACACCTAGAACTTAACTATTTTATAAATGTTGGCTCAATTCTGAAAAGCTTTAATGAGACAGCAATTACCATGCCCCTTTCCAGTCATTCCACATATTTAACAACTTTCCTTTATAGCTTTAAAAACAAACAACATCCCCCCCCCCAAACAACCAAACCACACAACTATACCACCTGTGGCAGCAATATCAGCATTTTAAATCTGTTCAGGTACACTTTTTCCTCCCTCTATTAGAGATTGTCCTTTACTGTTTTAACAATTTCTTCCGGAAAGCCAGAGGAAGCTTCCAACAGCATCTGAGGTTTGACAATGATATATATTTTGAATTTATTTACAATCTTAAAAATTATTCCCAATAGAAAAGTTCGACTCAACATGTGAAGTGGTTACCTGAGTATTTATTTATCACTTGTATTTTCCCCCCTTAATTTTCAGTCAGATTCATGATATCTGTTGAGTAAGGGGAAGTCTTGTTCCTCAAATTTAACATGCACAATATCCATCCAGTTCAAGACCTAATTCAATCAACTTAACATTAGCAATACTAGGGGCTCTGCTACAGACATTAAAAGAACTTAAGATGCTAATATCATACTTGTTAATTTAAGAACTAACAGATGATGTTAAGCCCAGCACCACTGAAACAACCCTACCCTACAAATAACTGGTTAAGTCAAGTCAGCTGATCTTACTCATTCATAGAAAATACATATAGAAAAATATTTACAAAATTAGGGAAGAATTGGTTGTGTTCCTCATAGAAGACTATTTACAACAAGTTATTGAGACATTTTTAAATTCTTAAGCCACGGTCAACCCTCTGCGGGTTCGAAGCATCTGGGTCTTCTTCTCTTTTCTCTCCTGCTCATGCTTTTCACGCCTCTCTTCTCTAAAAGTGAAAAAAAAAGATGTTACTATATTGAAAGCAAGAAATCAGATGCATCATTGATTAAACTAAACAGCTAAAGACCAAATACACAAACATTAAGAAGTCCTTGAGGTGAATGGCACTAGAAGTTTCCAAATTTTGGTTGAACAAGGTCTTGTACTGACCTGGTCTGGAGAGGTGGTTGTTTGTAATTTTTCTTAAGTGAAGAGAGACTGTTTTTCACCGATTTATTCAGGATACTGGTTTCTTTTGTTTCCCCCCAAGGTTTCAGTCTTCCTTTATTTTAAGAGATAAGCAGACCAGCTAGTTATTCTAATTTACACTGCATACATGGAATCATAGATAGAATCATAGAAAAATAGGGTTGGACGGGACCTCACCTCAGGAGGTCAGTTAGTTCAACCTCCAGCTCAAACCAGGACCATCCCACTCAAGGCTTTGTCTAGCCAGGTCTTAAAAACCTCCAAGGATGGAGATTCCACAACCTCTCTGAGTAACTTGTTGCAATGCTTTACAACTCTGCAGAGGCCTAATACTGTTCTCATCCTCAACTCTGTGGCTTGATTGCATCTGAAGTTAAAGCCAAGATGATAAAAGTGACTGGAGTGTGTAAGTCACAGCCAGTTATTGGAGGAGATGCATTCCACACAGCTGTCGCTATTTAACATGCTAAAGCCCACATTTCAGCTGCACTGTTCAATTATATTTTGAGTGCAGTTTTAAGAATTACCTTATCCTGGGGAGGGCAGGGAACTACACCTAAGGTTCTTGGATGGATAAGGGACTGAAGTTCACTAGCTATTACAGCTGAAGTAATGCAAAAAAGGAAAAACATTTTGTTGAAGTATGGGGAAGATTCCCTTTACTGAAAGTTTTGAGAGTTCTTGAAGTATCAGTGAGTCATCTTAACAAGGAGGAAGATTTAAGGTTTTAGAAGCATGAGAGTTTCGAGAATTGAGGGGTATTTTATAACAACAATCATTTAAAAATTAATTAAGGTCTCTGCTTGAAAAGAGAAAGAGAAAGTTGTTAAGGGATTATGGAGCACCTTGTATTTGCAAAGAACTCTTGATATTTAAGATACTGTTTAACAGGTAAAAGCCACAGGAACTACAAATACACAGGTCAAAAAATAGAAGGCAAAGGTAAGGAATGTGCAGAATGCAAAGAAGTTAAGGTAAACCACAAGTTACAGAGACTGGAAGAGGATAAGTGGTTGATTATTAGATACTGAGGATTGTAGCACTTGATAAGCCAGTTCAGTGATCATTGGCTCATCTACAGATCACTACAATCAAGTTCATCTGCAGGAACAGGGACTTCAGTGGAGCGTGCCCTCATGTCCAAGGAATCTAAGGCAGCCTTTTAGGGCACGCAATCTATCAGTTACCTGTTGACAACTAGAGGATTAAGTTCCTTCCCATACTCCTGTGGTACTCTGTCCCTGTTCAGAACGTCATATTTACAGGGAGGCAAGGTGGTGCCAGCATGGGGCTGGGGCCCGAAGCAGAGCTGTAATCCATTCCCTGCACCTCCCTGTGACAAGTGCTGGTAAATATTTACTGAGGGTCACTTGGTAGATTTGATATGCACACTCAGTTTGGCTGAGAGACGATTTATCAGTCAAAGAGGTCGTTTGTTTTGATCCTTCCTCCTTTGGAATCACCACTGTTTGGGCCATTTATGAATGGAATAGCCAACTGCCTGTCAAGAATGACGGGGAGAGCAGGCAGGGATGAAGCCCTGTGCCCCTTATCCAGGCCCACTCCTGCCCCCTTTCCCTCCGGCTGCTTGGGGTCCGGGCCCATTCCCCACCTCAGCGGCAGGGGAGGATCGGGCCCAAGGGTGGGGAGAAGCAGGGCCGCCACGGGGAGGGGAGGAGCAGCAGGCCTGGG